GTTGTAGATCATACAACTCTCCCTCCGAGAAAAAAGTACGTAGATCAGTAAAGGACCCCTCGGGTCGTTCAGTCCCACCGGATTTTTCATCGTTACAAAGCAAGTCGTTGAAGTCGCCTGTAACAAACCATGGACCGCTGCGAGCTTCATTCAAGAGAATCAGTTCCTCCCAAAAAAGTTTTCTGGTTGCCTTGTTTGTGTCGCCATAGATAAACGAGGCATAGAAATTCTTGCCCTCAAAAATAATGGAGGTACCAATCAAATTATTTGTTGTATTCAGAACCTCAAGCATTACATTGTCTTTCCAAAGTAGAGTGAGACCCCCTGCCCCATGGCCAATGGGAGGGATTATGTAATGAAATTCGTACTCCAGATCATGAATCTTCGAAAGCACCGTGTCAGTGGGATTTTTGGTTTCAGAGAGAAAGATAACGTCTGGCCGAAAAGCATGCTTGATCTCTCCTAATCTATGAACTGTCTCGGGATTCCCCAACCCTTGACAGTTCCAAGCCAATATTTTTAAGGACCGGGAATTGATGGATTGTGAAAATCCATCTTCTTCCTTGCCTTAGGTGGTAGGAAGTTGCGCAGTGGTTGATTGTCTGAACTGAGGTTTGGCGTTCCTTGGTTTGAGCCCCGAGACTGCCCAGTTAAGTCTCTGTCCGAGGCTGAAGGCGTTCCTGTTCTACGCTTGCAAGCTTGAGCTTTAGGCACAACTTTCCTTCTCTTAGGGATTGTGCTGGTTCCTTCCTTACGCAAAGGTTTGGAAATAGATTTCTTTTTTGCGCCTGGGGGTCTTCCTGGTTTGCGCTTTTGCGGGGGGGGGGGGGGGCAGAAGATCCCGCTTCCCCTTTCTCCATTGGAATTCCTTGGGTTCCAAGTCTAAGGAGTGCAGGGATCCTTGGGGACACTTCCAGAATTGGTTCATGTGAGCATATTCCAGTAGGTATAGCAAGGGATTCTTTTACCATTTGTATTGCGGTTTCTTCAACCTCTCCTAGCTCTTCTGCTTGGCGCAATCTCTCCTTTCTGGCTGCGCTTTCGGTGGGATCAGCACATGAAGTATATTGTTTCATGACACTTCGAACCTCCCCCATGGCCTTATCAACTGCATCTTGATGTTGGGGGAGTGAGGTGTCTACATGAGGATACCCTCTCCTAGCAGAGCTAGTTTCCGTTCTTGATCGAGATGATTCCAGCAAGCCCTCCTCTGCTCGCGATCTTGGGGTACCAAATCCTTGGTTTATAGTATTTCTCTCCGACAGGGGAGAGTGGGTGGAAGGGAGAACCTGTTGTCCCGGACCAGACTTCTCCACCGGTCTATAGATTTGTTCTCTTGAGCGGTTGTCAAGATGATGGTATCTAGGCTGGCTCTGTTTTTGATAGTAAGAGGAGTGTTGTTGACTCCTTCTGTCCTCCGTGTTATCTCGATCAGCTCTACGGTAAGGATGGGCTCGGTTGTATTGTTGGTTTCTTCCCTTAGGATACGAGGTGCGGTTTCTGTAGTAGTAATCCTCAGATTCCGTTGACCTCCTGTTAGTGGTCCTGTCTTCTGCCAAGTGGTGTTCTCTATCAGTTCTGCTTGGCTGATGATCATGAGGTGGTTTATTTCGAGCACTCTGATGTTCTTCTATCTCCTTGTCCTGTAGAGCCTTCTTTTTGCGAGCTTTTGCCTCAAGACAGTCGCGAAATTCATGATCAAGTCGGTTGCATTCTGAGCAGTGTCTCTCCAATTTTTCATACACAAAGTTGGCCGTAACTTCATTGCCTCCTTTATACTCTATGATTGACTGCTTGATAATGAGGAGTCGTCCATTCACTTGGACTCTCATTCTCACTGCAAGAGACGTGATATCTGCTTCTTCATAGACTCCTATGTCTTCCCCTAGTTTTCTTATGGTCTCCTCTGTCCACAAATGAACCGGGATCCCCTGGACCTTGATCCAGAAAGGTATTAGAGAGGGAAAATGTGGAGAAGTTGTTGGCTCCCATCTCTGTAGGATAATCATCCATCTTAAGTAATGATATGGTCTTTTATCCAGAACTGCATGTAGGTCTGATTCTAGATCGAATTGGAACTGGAACATTCCTTGTCCAAGGTCTGCGCCCACCTTTTTTCCTTCAGTTTTCCAGTGCTCTGTAAAGAAAGCAAGAAGAGCCCAAACCTTCTGCGCAGATGGGTTAGTGACTTTTCCAATTAATGTGAGAGAGTGCTTGTGAGTAAGATAAGCATTCTCAGGTTCCTCCATTTGGATTCTTCCTTTTCGTGGAGCTTGGTAGTTTTCAAGAGCAGTACTCTTTACTTTTTCAGCTGCTGATAATCTTCTATGTGACATGATTGAAGGTGGTTGAGGTGAAAGATCGAGACTTCAACACCAAGGAAACCTTCTTTAAAATCGGCTGAGAGGGATTTGTTGGTTAGATCTGTAATAAATGCAGCTTACCCTTGGAGACACCTCACAAAGGTATTTAAGAGAGCTAGCACAGAGAGAAAACTTTGTAGAGTTTGGTTTACAGTAGAGGAGAGGAAACGGAACCCCGTTTGAAAGATTTTGAGATCGGAAACGGAAACCCGTTTAAATTTGGAGAAATATTTGTGGAGCTCAGGGACTCCAGAGCAGAGCAAAACACTGTTGGGACATGGCGTTCTGGTGGAGTAGCTGCTGGAGCGTTAAGCGGTTGGTCATTGTGGAGTTTTCCGGCGAGACACTGGGTAGAAGCAGTCCCTCCGACGGAGGTCGGGGGAAAGAACCGGCGTGTAAACCTCGCAGTGCCAGAGAATGTCCAGTGGTTTTATCTAGAAGAGGTAAAAATTTGAAACCCTCGAAAAATAACCATCGGTCAATAGCATGTTCCCGGCAAAAGTCTAGCGAGCGTGGCTTTGTCAACCCTTTCTCGAAAAAGTCGCCTGGGAGAGAAAAAAGATAGTTTTTGTTTTAGCCTGAATTAGTCTAAATTGTTTGTTTTAGAGGGAATGATAATTTAATGGGCTATAACTTCAAGTGTAATTCCATAAATTTCAATATCTGAGCCCAAACTAGGCGCAAGTATGATCCTAGGGAGATGATAACTGATAAATATAAATACCATCTTCTCTTTTTCTTTTGCTGGAACTCAAGTGGACTGGCTAGAAAGGTACTAGCAATCGACGTCTTTCCTTTACGCCACAAAGTTACTGGACCACGAGGAGAAAGTAGGCTTTCTTTCTTTCTTTTTTTGATGAAAAAGTAAAGTTTCTTTCTATATTTTTATAGCTCAGAAAGTATTATAATGTTTTTTTATTTTATTTTAAAACGATTTCGATACCTTTTTCGTGTATTAAGACTAGTTCATGTATGTGCGTAATGGTTGTGAAAAACAAAGACTAAACGTGTAATGGAGGAGATCAAGACATTGAAAACCAACAATAGGTCATTGGAAAGAATGTTTTCTTTTTTTTTCTCTTGCGTAAAGAAAAAGTTAAGTTATAAAATTAAAACATTAAACATATACATGATCTTAGTTGACAAATTTGACAGCGGATGAAACATACATGAGGGCCATAAACTAAGAACTTTGACCAAATCTTAAGTTAAACCAGCTTTCAGAATCAGAAAAAAATACATATACATGTTAACATAGCTTATTAGTTTTGTGTGTCAAATGTTCTTTCACTAGATTTAGTCTTTAGTTTACACACTTCTAGGTCTGAAATTAGTTTGCTATGACATATATGGATCACTAGGTAACATGTGAACTATTTTTCCAACTTAGAACCGGTAGCAGATTCCCTCATGAAAATGGTTAAAAATCATTAAATAGAGTTGGATTACCAATATATACTCGAATATTTTCATAAGGTTTTAATAGAATATGAAAATAATTTTGTTAGGTAAATGATATATATACAAGGCAAATAGTTATATTCTCCAGCTCTTTCTATATAAACTTTGATAATACACCCGTACATAGAAAGCTTGCAGCTATTACTTTGAGTTAAAGTAAAGGGGTTGAAATTATATATAGTTCTTGCTCCTTTCCAAAAGCCTGAAAGGATATGATATCTCTTTTCTTTGTATAAAATACTTATATATTCTTTGGGATCATGAACAATTTTAACCCAACTAGAAGAACTTGAGATAAGATAACATTTGTAAATCGAAATTCCCACATGATTTGATAATGCCAGTCCCGCTTAATCTAGTTTTATATTGCTATTATCGACACCAGATGTCACTTTCAAGTGTAGAGTAACCAATTGGATAAAAAAATAATTTAAATGGATATGATAGAGAAAAGAATGTACCACGAGGTTAAATTGACTAAAGATTACACGTAATATATAGAACTCAACATCAAATAACTTCTGATTTGTTTTTTTTTTTGCTTTGAGTATAACATTTTATAGAACTAGAAGTTCATTTAAAATTAAAAGATCTCCTTGTAGTTGTAGACATGTCACATGTACATGATTGATTTTGTAAATCACGTGGACCAAAAAACAAACAAACAGAGTAACTACGCAAAGGGCAGGCTTCAGTTAAACTTCATCCATCCATCATGACATGTGTGTGGCCCATGCATGCCTCTTGCAATCGTGTGATCAATACCAATACCTTTTAAATCACTCTAAAAGTTTTCATTCATCCATCCTCAGAAGGTTAGGTAAAATTAAATAACAATAACATTTACAGTTAAAATTTTTGTATCAACTTGTGGTGGGCATCTTGTATGGTGGAATAAAAGCCTAGGATTAGAATTTAATTACTTTTTGTTAATTAAATTTTAGAAACTAAAACGAAGAAAGTCGTTGACGCAATACCTAACTCACACGAGCCGCTTTTTTAAATTCGGTACGACTTTGTTGACAAGAGACTGATGAAGCTGATGGAGACTACAGTACACGCGCGGGGTCCACCAACCTAACTGCCACCTGTTCTCCATCGGCCCGGCCCATCATCCCATCCCGTCGCTTACTATAAATATCTATTTTTCTTTTTTAATTAGAAAGAAACGCCAAAAAAGAATTATTCGGAATACATTTGCTTAAAGAGTACTACCTTCCTCCCGATCATCATCTCTCTCAATCGCCGGCGTCACTCAGTAGATCTTCGCTTCCGTCTGTTGTGTGCGTAAGACTCTTTCTTCCTCTCTGTAGACTCGTCGTTGATCGGTCAATTTGATTCGATTCTGTGATTAGCATTTTCGCGATGTATATTTTGATCCAAGTAGAGAATGATTGATTGTGTGTGCAGGATGATGAGGTAAAATCGGAGGGAGAGAGAGATGGATGATAGAGAAGGATCGTTCGTAGCTGTTAGGAGGATTTCTCAGGGTCTCGAACGTGGTGGAAGCGTTTACAGTTCCTCTTCTCGTAACTTTCACTCTCTCCAAAGCTTATTATCTCTCTCTCTTCACTAACTGTTTGTTATTCGCTATGGATCATGAGAGTAGTTTATTCAATGCTTTAATAATTATCTTAATCATCTTAGGATAGTATTAATTCGAGCTTATTGCCAAGGAGCATGGTGTTGCTAATTAAAAAGATTCAAGGCATCTATTAAGTGTATAACAACTATCATGATCCATAGTGTGGTCACACTTATTAGATGCCTAATCGGTTGGTATAATGAACTTGATAGAGTGGTATTTCAAGTTTGTTTTGAGCATGGTGTTAGTTAAACCTTGGTATATGGCAGAGTTTTGTAGTCTATTGGTCTAAAACCTTTTGTTCTTGTGTATAGTTTTGTAGAATTCGGATGTTTTTTTTTATGGGAGCGTGTGTGTGTGTAAAAGATATAAAGTAGCCAAAAGATGTTTGCGGACTTAGCATCACTAATAATCAGTTAGTTTAGTATTCATTCCACTGTTGAAAAAATTGAAGTTTTTTTGTTTTGTTATGAAATAGCTGAGGGTGTGCCTGGATCAGCAGCTTGGTTAGGCCGGGGTCTTTCTTGCGTCTGTGCTCAGCGAAGAGATAGTGATGCAAATTCTACCTTTGATCTAACACCTGCTCAGGTACACTCACTCTTTGCCTATCACTTGGTTACTTGTCAAGGTTGATTCTAACTTCTACACTGTTGTTGGATTGGAACTTGCAGGAGGAATGCTTGCAGAGTTTGCAGAACCGAATTGATGTAGCTTATGACAGCACTATACCTCTGCATCAGGTACACATTTACGTGAGAGGGTTATTAAGCTATTAAGCAAAAATTATCATATAAAGTCAATGAACTTGAGCCATCAATTGGAGATGGTAGAATAATATGTAGTTTTCGCCATCACTTGGTTTCCTATTAAATGCATACTTGCATCATTAGCCCAGCTTTGATAATTATGTTTTTGCTCTTAGGAAGCTCTGAGGAATCTGTGGAAACTTGCCTTTCCTGAAGAAGAGCTTCATGGGTTGATATCTGAGCAGTGGAAAGAGATGGGTTGGCAGGGCAAAGATCCGTCTACTGATTTTAGGTACAAGCCTGTCTTTCCTCGCCATTTTTTATTGATATTTATATTTGTTGCTTCCATCCTCTTTGACTGACGGTGCCAGCATCTTTCAGGGGTGGGGGTTTCATATCTCTTGAAAACTTGCTGTACTTCGCTAGAAACTTTCAGGTATACCCACATGCTACCTTTGCAGAGAAGAATGAATTAGTGTTCCTTAATAATTTCACTTTCCATGCAGAGTATTATTTATATGTATTCATGTGACATCACGTATAACATTTTCTCGCTCCATGTAATGAGCTTGTTTTATAGTTTCCCTCAACTAGTTTTATAACGCCGCATGACCATATGCTGCAGAAAACCTTCCAGGACCTTTTGAGGAAGCAGGTTGGGGAAAGGTCCGTATGGGAATACCCTTTTGCTGTTGCTGGTATCAATATAACATTCATGCTCATTCAGATGCTTGACCTTGAAGCAGGTACAATGTCCACAAGAATCTAATTACCTACCGTGATTGTAACGTACACTATTTGCATGAGTACCCAATTGAGATAATCAGGGGTTTACTTAACAATATTGTCTTTGAAACTTTTCACAGTAAAACCTCGAACAATTGCTGGGGCAACTTTTCTGAAGTTCCTTTCTGGTAAGCTCTCTCACAGAATGCTGTTCCGTTTCCACTCAACTATGCTGTTTGCTTTCCCCCCATAAAAATTCTCTGAAACTGCAAACGGAGATGCTTTGATTGAATTTTGACACTGATTCAGATAAGTGTGTGTGTGTGTGTGTGGTGTAAGCAGAGAACGAATCAGCCTTTGACATTCTTTACTGCATTGCATTCAAGCTAATGGATCAGCAGTGGCTTTCAATGCGTGCATCATACATGGAATTCAACGTAAGTACTTCCCTAAGACATATCCATACATTGTGTTTGCAATAAAGATAGATAATGTTTTTTGGTCATAGTATATGTAACTGCATTGGTAACACTTAATATGGATGACATGACAGACGGTGATGAAATCAACAAGGAGACAGCTGGAGAGAGAGCTGATGATGGAAGACATAACGCATCTTGAAGACTTGCCCTCCTACGCTCTTCTCTCTCAATAACCACATCTGGTTTGACCTTTGCTTCTACTGTTGGTTGGTTGGCTCTAAGTAGTGGTTACAAGGAGTGTGTAGTTAGAAAAAAAAAAAAAGAATGGGTTTGTTTTCTAACAACGTTGAGGGTTTTCTAAAACTGTTTGTTAATTGATTGATGAAAGACGATTGGGTGATGTTGTCAGTGTTAGTTAAATCATTTGGTATATCTCCAAATTCGAAAGCAGTCTCCTCCGTAATCTTACGGTGGCGGCTACACTTAATCTGTTTGTGTAAAGCTTTACCCATTGATTGGATTGCTTTTAGAGATGAAAACATGTGATGCACTCATAATCGAACGAAAATGCGAAATAATGATATTATCTACTACAAATGAGCACATGGTCTGATGATGATAAAGGTTCCATTTGCATAATTAATGATAGGGTAGATGGTAGATTAATCAGTCGGTCATAGGAATAAAGAAGTGAAATATACGTGTAAACTTTCAAATTGTTTATTTTCTTATTAAAATTCCTTAATAAATTGTTTCTAGTTCCTAAAATTTTATGGTCGGTCCTAAAAAAGAGGTGATGTGGCTATCACAATCACATTCCAACTTTCTCAAAATATGTAATCTCAAAGTAGATATATTTTGCCTTTTGATTTGAAAACTCTTCACTAACTATGCCAAGTTGCATTGCTTAATCAGATACCACTAACAACCACCACTCGAATTAACATTGTTAAAAACCCACTTATTTAAGGAATTAATAGCTAGTATCATAGTTGTTGATAAACTATTACGAGTTTCATATTGACAACGTAATAGTATTAAAATACATTTGAACACGAGGGGTATGGTGAAGAATAGCTGTCTAAGTGAGTCCAAAACCTATAAGTTGATATATATAGATGACAGATGATAACGAATGATGAAACAACACGGAGAAAAAAGAAAATGGTGAAATTAATAATAATTTTATTACAACAATACAAAAGAAGTGAATGTGATAAATGACAAACTGATAGACGCCAAATAATTAAAACCCTAATTATAAGAGATGATCGATGGCGTGGAAACACACTCAAATTCTCTTACAGAGTTACAACCCAAAACAAAGTAAAGATCAAAAGCAAAAGCACTGACTCCACCCTGGCTTCTCTAAACCATTCACATCCACAAACCATAACCCAACACCATCGACACTCCGACCAAAACGTAACTCATCACTCCCTTAGATGCCCCACTTGCCTTCGGTGGAGGAGGAGAAGTTGACCCTGAAGCCGGTGTACCTGGAGTTCCGGCAGCCGGCGTTGTTCCCGGTGTGGAAGGAGTTCCGGGAGTTGTAGACGGCGGCGTGGGGGCGGCTGGAGTTCCGGAAGAGGCGGCTACGACCGTAACTGCAAGCTTCATGCCATTTGCACAGTGACCAGGTGTAGGGCAGATGAAGTACTGTGTTCCTACTTTTTCGAGATCAATCTCGTTGTCTCCACCAGTATGGGTATCGATCGGTGTGCCTCCACAGCTATCGTAACCGGCTTTGTTCACTTCGTTCACTGAGTGTGTAGGACCATACTTGAACTCTGTTTTTAAAACCAACATCCAAGTAAAACGTTAAGAAACATTTAAAAAAAAACTAAGTAGATCTTCCTTGCGTAATAAGTTATCTCTATTTGAGAGTGTAAGCTGGAACCAACCTATTGGCAAAAGATTGTAACTAAGGATCATGATTTTTAACAAGAAAATAATACTTATAGTTGCAAAACTTTGAGTTAATTTGAGCCTAAAAATAAATTTTAACAGGACTGTACCTAGAGAGTCACCAACTCTGAAAGTCTTTCCTTTGACCCAAGCTGTGTAATCCACACCACTATCCCACTGAGCAGCGTCTCCGACCGTGTACTTCACAGCGAGCGTGGCTGGGACGATGGCCAGGACTAGGAGAAGAGCGGTTGCAGCCATCTTTGAGAAACCATTCATTGCCATATTTGTTATGAAGAGAGATATAATTGAAAAGATTGTGATGAGAAGAATTGGTTATGGTGGCTATTATATAACAAAGAGATATGTGAGGACTATGGGAATTAAGTAAATGGAACTGTGTCAAAAGTCGCCGCCCTCGTCAAATCATTCAACAACTTCATCCTCTCTTTTTCATTTCCATATTATTTTTATTACTCTCTTTGTTTGGTAAGGCATTGTCTCGATGCTTACCAACTATTTGTTCTTATATATTCAAAACTAAAAATAAAGGGATGGATAATTAACTAAATTCTTCAGTGGCTTTCTTTGATGTAAATTATATGTACACATCAACCTAATGAATGTCTTCTTCTATTTTGGTTTTTATGTTTTCTACCAAAAAGTGTGTTGAGAACATGGGTTTGTTAATATGCTTCTATGCAAAACGCAAATACTAATGTTTATCACATAGATATTATATTTTTAGTTCACAAAATAAAACTATTGAATCTTATATATTAAAACAGAAGTCATGACTTGACTTCATGTATGATTTTTTAAAAAATGGACTATTACATGAAAGTCATGTTACATTAACTCTCTAATAATCTTATCATTATTATATCTTATGAAAAATCATACCTATAATAATAAAGATACGCTTAACAATTTGGTTTTGGTAAATTACCCTACACCTTCCAATTTAATCAGGCAAAATATATCAATAGATATAAGTTTAGGAATCTTCTATTATTTATAAGGAAATATGTCAATAATAGTTAGATTCATCCACAATATACGTATATATTAATTCACGCTATATATACTAGATAAATTTATTTCGATGTAAAATTTTAAAATTATATTCTTTAAGAAAAAAGAAATTGTTAACAAAATTTTTAATAAAATGCTTTATAATATTAATTTATGAAGCTATAAGTTTAGTTTTTGTAGCAAAATTTCTTCGAAGTTTATATTATTTTTGCAAATTAAAGTATACTAATATTCAATGAAGCTCTATTTATATTATTTTATCTAAAAATGAAATACCAATTTAACAAACAATAAAATATAGAAGAAGAAACAAAAAAAATGTTTGAAAAACATGTATAATATAAAAATTTGGAAACAATCTATTTGATTAAAACACGTATTATATAATATTATTATATTTGAAAAACATTTACTATACATATCGTAAATATTTGATTACTATAATATATACCAATTTACAAGTGAAAGCAAAATATTTATATAACTAACTATAAACGAAAACAAACACCCGCGCGGTTGCGCGGGTCAAAATCTAGTTTCTTAGTTAATTAACATGTTATGGAATCTGCAGATGCCATGATTTTCCTTAAAACTTAAGCAAAATGTCAGCTTACGAGAATTTATAATGCCTTTAAAGCAGGATATATGAAGTTTAAGTTATATTTTGTCTGGAGAATTTCCTAAAGAAACATTCTAATATTATCACAACAAGTTCTTATCTATTTAGACAATTTTTGTTGAAGTGTATGAATTCATATATGATTCTTTTTAGTTTGTATTTTTTGGTCCAGTTGCCAATTGGTCTATTTTATACATTCTACTTAACATTTGATGGGGTTTTGTTTTTGTGAGTGGATTTTGTACGTTGAACAAAGACTTCATAAAAGGGTCTTCTACGTTAAACAAAGACTATTTAACTCCTAAAAATTTATTCGTTTAATCATATAAAAGATATGAAAGCCTTTGTGTACTGAATCTCATCATTGTATTATTGGAAGGATTGTTTGAAGCCATTGTGTCAGATTTTTTGTTTTGTTTTTTAACTTCTTGGTCCGACTTGGTCAGAAGTTATACAGAACAAACGATGTACAAATATTCGAAATGACTTCCTAACTCTTCTAGAAAAAGATAAGGAGGATTAGGTATTAGGGGGAAGATGCCTAGCACGCTCCAAGGCTTTTTTTTTTGGATCAGTCACGCTCCAAGGCTATTTTAATGTATTTGTCAATGATCAAAGATAGGTGTTGTGTTAGGTGAAAGAAATCTTTACAATATTCGAATGTTTCTTTTTCTGAAAAGATGAAAACATACGAAACCAAAACAATCTGAAAGTAACCCATAAAGGTGAAATGATCAACGATTAACAAGAACCAAATTGTAGAATCACTATGCACTCCTTAGCAATTCTCTGACCAAAACAAATTTTAACTAGTAGAACGAGAAAATAAAAACATAATTTAGGAAATTCATTATAGTATTTAAAAAGGGAGGCTGATTATGAAGATGAAAAATAGTTGTTGAGTTAGAGAGGGAGCTTCTACGAGGTTCAGAGCGTGTCATGTTGGAATTTAATGGTTTATAATATTATCATCTCATCCATTAGCTTCAAATTTAAAAGGAAAGGAGGAACCACAAAAATAGCAGAGGAGATGCAAATTGTTCTACGTCTAACGATTTATTTGCATTACTCTGAACAGTATTATGAATATTTTTTGCAAAAAGAAAACTTACTATTGAATGAATATTCATCTTGAAAATAATGCTTGCATTATGTAGAAAATTTCTTGGAAACTCAAAGTTTTGGTGTATGTTGGGATAAAGTTATCATATTAGAAATATGAATAAGACATGAATAATATATAAGAGATTTTAACCAATCTACTAACTGTCAATTGGTTTTAAGTTAGAAGTCCACGAAACTTAACATGTTATCAGTAGCGGTTCATATCCTGACCCATTAATCCAGTTCAGATAGTGGTAGGATCATCCCACAAATTATGACCTAAAGAAGATTTAATTTCTTCGAAATAGTTAAAAAAACATTATTTCAGAATGATATAATGGATTATGCAAGATTAATGGTTATACGCACCATTATCTTGAGGGAGAATATTGAAATAAAGATTCCATATTGAAAATATGAATGAACATGAATAATATATAAAAGATTTAGACAAATCAACTAATTGACAATTGATTTTAATTTGAAGCCCACAAAATCTATACTATTATTTAAGAAGTAATTTTGCTGAGGTGTCAACTTCTCCTTAATTTTAGGTAAATTTGTTTATTTACATTATTTAAATAATTTCATATAAAATGTATTATTTAATAAAAACGAAATTATATTAATATATCATATTTTTAGTAAATAAGATAATTCTTGTGAATTATACTGTTGTCTTGAAATATATTTTTATAGTTGTCAACGTCTCCTTGATTCTAGGTAAATTTGTTTATTTATCTTATTTAAATAATTTCATATAAAATTTAATATTTAATAAAAACGAATTTCTATTAATATATCATATTTTAGTAAATAAGATAATTCTTGTGAATTATATTGTTATCTTGAAATATATTTTTATAGTTGTCAACTTCTCCTTGATTTTAGGTAAATTCTTTAATTTACCTTATTTAAATAATTTCATATAAAATTTATTATTTAATAAAAACGAATTTCTATTAATATATCATATTTTTAGTAAACAAGACAATTCTTGGGAATTATATTGTTATCTTGAAATATATTTTATATATAAAACTTATATTTTAAATTAAGATATAAACACTATTATTTTTATCTAAAACAAATTTATATTAATAATCTAATATTTTTCTAAAATAAGATAATCATTATGGATTATGTTGTTATGTTGAAAATATATTTTCCTATTATAAAACTTAAAATTAAGATATAAAATTATATTATTAGTAATTAAATATAATTCATAATTAAATATAAATCATCAAAACAATTATTTGAAAAGTGAATTTGTTGATTTGTCTCCATGATCCTAGGTAATTTTGATCATTTATCAGAATTTTCATAATTTTGTTTATTATTGATTCTACAATTAAATTCTTGTATATTATGCTGTTATCTTGAAAAAATATTTTTATTTTATAAAATTTAAAATTAACATGTAAAAAATCTATAATATTATTTAAGAAGTGAATTTGATGTTTGCTGATTTGTCACATTTTCTTGATTTTAGGTAATTTCGATAATTTATTAATTTATATAATTTTATATGTAATTTATTTTATATTTAAAACAAATTTATATTAATAGTATCAGATTCTTAGAAAATAAAATACTTCTTATGTATTAAGTTGCTTTCTTGAAAATATATTTTTCTATTAGAAATTTAAAATTAAGATATAAAAAGTTGTAGTTATTCTATAATTGAAATAAATTTACAATAATAATATTATACTTTTAGAGAATATGGTAATTCTCATGTATTATGTTGTTATCCTGAAAATATATTTTTATATTATATAATTTAAAAGTAAAATAGAAAAATTATCTATTATTAATTAAATATAAATCATCACTCAAGAAAAATTATTTAAGAAGTGAATTTGCTGATTCATTAAGCTCTCAATTATTTTAGGTAATTTTAATTATATGTCATAATTTCTATAATCTTATATAATTATTATATCATTTAAAAAAATTATCATTTTATAATTTCAGAAAATAAATAACTTATGCATTATATTGTAATCTTGAAAATATGCTTTTCTAATATAAAATTTAAAATTAAGATATAGATATTATAATTAAATATAAATCAAGAAAAATAGTTATAGAAATATATTCTTTTAAATATTTCTTATGTTTGAGCTTTGTCATTGATAATTATTTGATGTTTGATTTTTACTTTTTGAAACATAAATAATAACTTACTATGATAATTTTTAAATTAATGAAACATCAACTAATAAATATTCATAAGAGAATTATGCCCGCAAGTGCGGGCAAAACACCTAGTTTAACAGTGTAAAACATTAAGAATTTGTTTTTTTATACTAAGAAGCTTCCACTATCATAACTATTTCAACAAATATAAATATATTTTGGCTGTCATGATGTAATTCTTTATATTTTTCATCGTTCATATTATAAAATTATAATCTGGTGAATCCAAGGTATTGTTCAGTAGAATTATCACAATTACTTTTTGTGAAGCTAGCAAATAATCACTTAAGAAACGTGGTCTTCTTTTCGAAATAGTTTCCGTGATAGATTCACTGAATATTGGTTGAGCTATGCACGTCAGTGAATGAGACGAATGAAACGAACAAATTGAAAAAGACAAGGATATTAAGAAAAAGTTAAGTTGACTGACCTTGTAAATAGTCTGAGGCAAATCCAAACTGTTCATAATCAACTTTGAATTACTATATGTGCCCGTTACTCAACGGCCCACTAGGATACAAAACTGGGCTTGTGATCAACCTAACTCATAGATAATGCTCAGATGCATTTTGGAACTTTTTTAGGAAACCCTAACCCCTTTTGTACTCCATAACCGCGTGTTCTCTCTCTCTATTCTCTTTTAGATTCCTCCCAACTCCCAAGCTAAGCTTCTTCGATTGTCTTCTTCTTATTCCAATCATGTTTTCACGTTTCGGGTTTTTGTTCAGTCACTAACTAATCATAGCTCAGACTTTTTTTTGGTAACTCATTTAACAAGTCAACGAAAACATAAACCCTATTTCTAAGTGAATTTTAGGATTCAACAATGCAGTGGATTGGTGGACATATTTTTCTTTGTCCATGAGCTCTCATATGTGAACACGCCTATCAAAGGATCAGGAAACAGAGCCACTCTGTTCAATGTAGCAGGAGAATAGTTGAAATTTCATGAGTCACCAGGGACTAGCTACATGGGACGGGAGTTGATTCAGGCTTTACTGGTGAAAGTTCCAAAGAGCAGTTTAGGGACAAAGAGAGGAGGAATTGAGATAAAGCAGCATCTATTTTTTGAAGGATTGAAATTGGGTATTGATGATAAGGTGTAGTACTTAATAGTTAATACATTACTCCTCCTGAAGTACCGGGACAAATGGAGACAGAACCGCCTCTAAAGTAGGGACCGGTTGATCCGGTTGGGTTTGGTAATAATAGCAAGAGAATGATGGGACCACCACCACCAGTATCAGCACCACATACAAAAGCTGGTGGTACATTTCTGGACTTTGAGTTTCTATGAAGCTTTGTTTTTCATCCTACGAGCTTGTGTTTGGTCACTTAATTAGCATTTTAGTCTTTTTATGTCGCTATATATATATTGTTGTAACAACGTCTCAAGAGGCTTGAATAGACCAGGAGTGGAGAGTGGTTTAGTTCTCATAGTAGCTTAAGAGGTCCTTATTGTTTGTTTCTGAGATTTTAAGTACATGGAAAGCTCCTTTGGTCGTTAGGTCAATGCCATGCATGTTTTAATGGTCCCAAATGCAAAAGATATTATGATCTATTGTTTAAATCCCAAAACTGTACATTATTTGGCTGTTTGCATGCAAAATGTATATTATATCATGTGTATAAATTGCGTAACATCATTATCTATAATATTAGATTACAGATTGAGCCATGATTATTTATGCTAAACCCTAATCTACCAAGAAGAAACCACCATGTGCTTCAGACAAAGAAGGAAGAAATGATCACAATTGTCAGATCGTATCTGTTTCCAGGGAATCCTATGATAAAACAGACCCACTTTATACATTTACAACACGTCAACACCCACCAGTTTCATGCACACCAAAAAGGGACATTTCGAGGCAAGACCTAGATTATTACTTACAGATCACACGACTATATAATGAACAAGCAAGAGAACATTCTTTATTCATGTCCTGGAATTTCTTTAGTACATGTAGCTGAGAATTACATGAACAAACAAAAACACCACATTTCATACATAGAAATCAAAAAGCCCAAATTCTAGAATTTTTTTAAGAAATACTGAAGACTCCATAATATATACATTTTCTTTTCAGAAATAAAAGATTATCCAAACAACCAGCCCGAAATAATAAGACATAACCATATGAAACTTCCAGCTCTGTAGCCCTCTTACCTCATCAAAATCTTTTAACTATATAGTATTTGTATTTTCTTCAACTATATAGTAATAATATAGTGTTGCTATTTGATGGAGTATGAGCGAGTGCATACCGTTTGTAAGGACTCCGTGAACAGAGCAGAGAAACTGGTCAAAGCTTGGAAGACACCAGGCAAACCCGTCTGCAAATTATTCAAAGTCATGGCTCTTGTCACTTCTATTGCCTTTGAATGTTTCAGCATCTCTTCCTCCACTCTTCTCTGACATGCTCCTAGCTCTAACTTCTTCTCCGTGAGGGGGTCACGAGCGTCTAACACGTGCCCGTTGTCTGGTCCTGAATCCGGGAGACCAAACCCTACCGTGGAGTATGACTGGTAGTATTTCCTTTCTATGTTCCTAAGCGATGAAGCCTTCTTCTCAAGCTCCTTTGATGCTGATTCGGTACGTTTCTTTATCTTCAGCTCCTCTGATTGTTTCGCGGATATTACGTGGACAACGTTGATGAAGCTCTTGATTGCTTCTGACGCCACTGTGTCCGGGACTCGGTCTAGAGTAAGCTTCCACTCATCGCAAAATGTGTAGGCATCTACTGGCTCTTTGTGACCGGGGTTCTCGTCGTGGCAAATTGGGAGGAGGGTTAGCTTGAACCAGGCTTGAACCGAACGTATGAACTCCCGTTGGAATTTAATCAGCCGACAGAAACTGGAGTGCCACAGAGACACGGCTGTTTCCAAGTCACGTGTTGCTTGTCGGTGTAGTTCAGATGTTGATTCCCCTTTGCCTGACCTGTTAATGAGCCCCTGAACTTGCTGCACGATGTTGTTCTGAATCTCGTGGAACTGATGCATTGCTTTCCACATGTACATGAATCTGCACAAGCATAATTTCAGAGATTAGTAACTCTGATGTCAAAGCAAGTGCCTATCTGCTGGAAACAAAGCAATTATAACAGCATAGTCTTAGGCTCTTCACATGAATTTGGTAAAAAAGGTTTTTTGGATCATTTTTTTTTTTGGCGTTACTACAACTACAGCACTTGAACTTGGGTGGGGATCATTAAATGCAGGTTCCAAACCAGCATGCTTCACAATGGAGGCGATATAATTTGTAATCTCTATTTACAATAGTAGATAATCTTTCATTTCTACGAAACTATATATTAGCCAATAAGGCTAATCATAACACTAAGCATATTACTTGTTAGTTGTCAAGATAAGCTATAAAGGCTCAAAATGCAATATCCTTCTCTAAGAAGCAGCCAATCATAACCGGGAATCCACAAATCTAAAGAATGGTTTCAAAAATGCATGAGATAACTAACTGCTGCAAGCCTGCACCTATGAATATTTCATTAAATGTTCACCTACTTGATAAGTCCACAAGATTCTTTTATGGATATGAAAGTAGGTGGTATACGGACGTCTACAAGTAAGTTATGATGATATAGACATTTCAATGCAACTAACAGCGCATTCAATATCGGATAATTATTGAGACAGAATTAGCTAAATCAAACAATGCAAACTTACCCGTGACAAAGTTCAACGAGCTGCGGGACAAGATCAGTATCTCGAAGACGGACAATGGCAGTAGATGTTGTGCTAACAGCCTGGGAAGTAACGATTATAAGAGACTGTAACCTAGTTATAGACCCCTTAGTCTTGTCTAGCTTAGTCTCATTATCTCCCTTGTACTCTTGACTTTGAAGTTTCGACAACTTCTTTTGGTGTTCAATCTTAAACCCTTCTCTAGCCTGCAACAAGTTCATCCGTATCTCCAATAATTAGTAAAAGAAAAAACATAAACATGCGAGAAATGACATAAACAGGATTAGGATAAAGAGGAGAGGACCTTGACTTCCTCATAGAGTTTCTTTTCCCATGCCAAGAGACGGTCAAGACTTGAACAAAGACTCTTGGAACCTCCCGGTTGTTCAAGTGAGGTTGTGTCAAGCCTGTACTTGACTTCCAATGGCGGCTTAGAGGTCCAAGTTGAGCTCAGGTTGCTCAATACACTACTCGAATGAATCACCGTTTCTGCCAAAAACCAAAAACATATGATTATAAAGTATTGATTTTTAAGTTATATGAATGACTCATAGTGAATAAAGCTTTACTCTTTAAGTGGCTGAAACTGCGGTCAAGCTGAGCCTTGCCAAGATTAAGCATCTGAGACACTTGCTCTCCTGCCTCAGCCGCTTTATCGAAATTCTCCTTGATGGCATCAACAATCTCCTTCAAATCTCTATGTCTCACCACCATCTTCATGTCAGAGACATCTCTGTAACTCCTTGAAGACGTCGCGTCATCTCCTTTCCTATACTTCTCTTCTCCACCTCTATACTCCTGCTGCATTGGTGCGTGCTGCCAACTAGTCTTCACAGAAGAACCAAAGTCAGAACGTGTCCCTATCTCAGAGATTGACTCTCTATCATCCTCCTCTTCCTCCTCCTCCTCAACCTCCTCAGCTGCTTCTGATGAGCTCGTCATGCTGTAATGGTCATGATCCTCCCATTCACTACACTGAACTTCCTCTCTCTCAGCTTCCTCCTCCACCGTGGTCTCAAACTGCTTCTTCTGCTTCCTCGAGTTGGAGGAGAAACTACGCTCCGATCTCTCTGTCTCCCTATCAAACTGCTTCTCCTTCCACTCATGCTCAGATCTCTCTGTTTCCGTATCGCTAAACCGGTTATGTTGCCTCTCTTGATCACTAAACCGATTACGTTGCCTCTCTTGATCGCTAAACCGATTATGTTGCCTATCTTGATCGCTAAACCGATTATGTAACTCTTGTTGATCGCTAAACCGGTTATGTTGCGACTCTTGTTGATCGGTAAACCGGTTATCGTGCTGTCTCTCATGAGATTTACGGTTAAAAAACTCGGAATCGGGAGGGGAAGGAGGGTAGAAATTCTCCCAGTTCCACACGGACGAAGCTTGAGAAGGAGTCGCCGAGTAAGTCGAGTTCTGGTAAGCCGTCGGGTAGAAACTACTCGTCGGCATGAAATTAGATCTCTCACTCGACGAAGGACTCGACAGTATATGCGGAAGCTTAGGCTGATTCTGCTGCTTCCGTCTCCGATTCGACGGAGCCGTTACGATCGGAGGAGGCAGCTTTGAGCTCGCGACAGAAGGAGGAGCCTGCGGCGGCGGCGGCGGAGGAGGAGTGTAGACGGAGGAAGGGGCAGGCGACGGCGGGACGCGTGGAGTGTGGAGGAACACGGCGGGAGTTTGATCGGAGACGGAGAGAGGCTCCCCTGCGGCGAAGGAGGAGAGAGCGGATCCGGTGAGGCGCAACGATCTGCAGTAATCGGCGTGAGCGGCGGCGAGATGGTGGCGCGAGCGGACGGATTCCGTCATCAGACGGCGGCGATCTTTGCAGCGGCGGACGGTGTCCTCGTTGTCGAGCTTCGACGCTGCGCAACCACCCATTGTGTTTTGAACGGTGCGGCGCGTGGGGGTCACGCTCGCATAGAGTAGAGGGGTTTGTTTTGTGTTTTGGGTTTTTAAACGGGGCGGCGCGTGAGGTTACGACATATGGTATGCTGCATTTGGATAGAGAGAATCTCACGCAAAATAAATGTTGGGGGAGAGAAAGTTGTGAGGTGTTTCTTTCTTTCTTTTTCCACTTGATCGGATTTTGGACTGTGCCTTTGCTCTATTTGTTGTCTACTTTTATTAATTTTTAAAAGAAGAAAGAAAAACTTTATATAAATTGCCTTTTTTTTTTTTTTTTTTAGTTTTCTCCACTGAGTACTGATAACGAATCAGTGACTGTCGTTAACCTGGACTAATAAGTCTTCCTTTGTTATTTTCCACCAAATTATTACTCGTTGCGTAGTTATCACTAAATAAAAGCTATTTGTTCACATATTTCCTCTTTTGTTTCTTTTTGTTTAGTAACATTTTTTTAATATTTATATGTGAAAAGATTAGTTTTTCTTATGTACTATCTTTTTAGATTATTTCGATTTTCAAATTCTTTTTTTACGTAAAAAATTTGGTACTTGTAGTTGCGGTTTATTTGAATTAAATTAGTGTGTCGGTTGATGATTTAGTTAATGGCAAATGATGCTCGGTGTCGTTTTAGCGTGGTTTGGGTAGATACTAGATAGTGGATCAAATTTGTAAAGACAAAAGTTGGGAGTATTAGTCAGATAGTATAATCACGAAAATGCTTGAAATGTTAAATAATCATTAATCGTTGGCTAAAACGGCAGGGTGTTTACTCTAGGAGGTTACAAACGGTGTATATTGTTGTGTGAAAGAGTCTTCTCTGTTCAAACCAAAAGAAAGGAAAAAAGGCTGGAAGAGAACAAAAAGCCACATGCATTTCCCTTTTCTTTCCACCTTTGTTCGAAGAGACTCCATCAGCTATACGGTGGAAAGTTAACAACGTGAGGCTCAACTTTTTAGTATTCTTAGAAACTATTCTCTCTCTTTTTTTCTAAAGCTAAAAAGCCCCTCCCAGGGATGAGCATCTAATTCTTCTTCTTCTCTCTTTTGTTAGATGCTTGTGATTCCTTCCATCAATGTATCTTTACGTTGTTACACTAATTCATGTTTGCGTACAGTTACTAGATCAACAACAATAAAAGAATTTACCATGAATCAGGATAAAGATACTTGTAAAAGAAGATGGATAAGAGTTGATTGATCAATCAATAGGAAATTAAAGTGTTGATGGGTATGGTTTTAGGTGGAGACGTCAACACTTTGTGAAAGTGACCAAACAGTTTTATTTCTTCATTGAAAGAACACATAACTTTTGTATTATCTTTTTGTTTGTTGTAATCTTCTGATTCCGAATATTCCTATTTATTTAAATTCGAGAGCTTCATATATAGTGTACTTATACATTATGCTTTGGATGCTTGATGCATCCGAGTTTCATGCCGGTTTGTTTTCTAGTTAGAAAATGGTAAATGTTCTACAATATGCATTCTTGATTTCTGTTTTAATGAAAATTTCTGTTATGTGATTTGATATATTAATGGAATCTGTTCTATTATGTTTTTAAATCAAGTTTTCTGTTAAAAGGAATCAATTCTAAACATAGCTGTAAAAGAAAACATACATTTTAATAGACTATTTCAGTCTTTATTGTGTGTGTGTCCCTTTCCTGTCCCGAGCAGCCATGTGGTGTGGACTGTTGTCTTTCGTCATACATATACAACAAATTGGTATATAATTATACATCCAAAATTGTTGCGTTGAACGATTCATCTCCTATCAACTGGGCCTAAGGATGGCTTTCTTTAATCAATGGTTTCGTTTAGATTCTTCCTTGGGCTAGATAGAGATGTACATATTCGTATTCTGAGAAATATACATTGGGCTCTTGTGATACAACACATCCGCATCTGAGAAATATACATTTGGCTCTTGTGATGCTGCTTATGCACATGAGAGACGAGAAAGGCAACTGGTGAAAGCATATCACAGTTTTCATGTTGGCATCAAAAGCCAATGCAGCTATTTTTGACACGGAAGACAGAACACAAGTGAACAAGAGCTGGAACACAAGCACCTAGAGCTATCCATGTTTAATGTTTTACAATTGGAAGCTAAGCTAGCTCGATCACGGTAATTCAAACAAGTGCACAGCTGAAGCACTTGTGTCATAAGGCGAACTAGTCCAGTCAAGAAAGTCATGAAGCACCTACTAGTACATCATTGTGATGAGAAGAGAAGAGGGGCTTGAGAGTTCTTCATGTGATGAGAGTCATGAGACCATGAACATGAAGTCACTATCTCCTTTTGACTGCTACATACACATACATATATCTTTTATTTTCCTCTATTTATATTTACTTTTATTTGTTGACCTAAAAAATTACTTTTACTATATTCTGAATTGACTTCATTGTCTTTTCTAACTAAAATATCAAAAAAAAAAAAAATCCAATTTACAATTAGTTTTCTTTTTTTTTTTTTGCATCTCAAAGAAATAATACAAGTAGTATTACCAAAAATAAATTTACAAGCACATAATGTGGTCATTTTTCTCTCTTAAGCAATTCAATGTCCCACATGTTATAGTATGCACCTCAAATTCATGTAGTGCTGGAATGTAAGTCATAATTGGAATATCACTCAACCAATCTCTATTCAGTAAATCATATTTTTGATCAGTTGTTGCTCCATTACAAACAAACAAAATATTTCATTGGTTGTTGTTCCATTACCAACAAGGAAAAATATGATCTAATTTTGATAATCATATTGTTCACAAGCTTTTATTATTTGTAACTACGTATCGTTAATTAGGTTGAGTTGTTATATTTTGGTTTAACATTAAGAGATTGGACTTGATTAAATCGATGCCAGTTTTGTTGTGTATCTATCTACAGTATTTTGGTAACAAAATCATCAAAGCTTTAGTGTACCGAAATTTGAGACCATAGTGTATACTTCACAATGTATTTGGGCCTATGTTTGCACATTATAAAGATGCCCCCATTGGACTTTAAGTTCAGCCCTATATTTCATTTGGATCGGAGCTAGGATAGAGTAAAATGAGTGACATAGACTACAATTTACGTCAATTTTTCTCTTCTTTCTCCAATCATATACTAATGATTACAGTGTCAGGTAACTAGGTGCGGTGATAGTTACAAATTAAAATGATATACTCTGTTAGTTTCATAGTATATAATGTTTAGAAGGTTCTTGGTATTTGTCTATTTGATAATGTAAGAATTTTTGAGATTTCTAGAATAATTTAATTTTATTAAAAAATTCAACAAACTCATATTTTATATTTTATGACTGATTGAATCATTTATGTTATATTTTTTAAGGATGCTTTTTATAAATTTTGTTTTTTATGTTTTTAGGCGTTATATTTTATACCTGTCGGATATCATGAGCTATAGCCATTTACGGTTGTTGGATTAGTTTGCTTAAAAAACTCATCAAGACTTAAAACTGCAAAACTATCATAAAGGTGCGGTCTAAATCTGACATAATTTTATCTGAATTAGTTTATCTCTTATGCAATTCGTGTAAATGAAGGACAACTCATTGCTAATTTAGAATATTTAAATTTCATTTGACTATAAATATCAATTTTTCAGGTAGAAAGAACAACAAAAGTTTACGATAGCGAGCATATAATCCAAACTAAAGGTGAACATATAATAACAAAAAGTAAATTAAAGAAGCAGAAACTTCAAGAAATATTCGGGGGTGATAAAATAGGAGATAACAAAAGTGGATCATTATCAAACTTTGTCTCTTTAATGATGCAATTTAATATGACAAATAAGATCATGGAGACAAAGACAATATGTAGGGCATCCATTCATATATATACACAAAAGATATGACTTATGAGGTAGATCTGTTTCTCTCTTACTTTTAATATGATTTTAAATTTACATGTTATTCCTTTCCCTTGCATGATTGGATTTGTTTATAAATAAATCGTAATCTAGTTTTCACCTTGAGAAAAAGGCATGTATGACTGTCTTACTCCCATCGTTTTTACACTGCTTCAATGTAAATATATCAATAAAACAAGAAATATTTTTAGTAGTCATCATGTGTATATATATTTTGAGACTTGTTGTGATTCATTGTCATCATTTTAGTATAGAAATAAAATTCGCTAAAGTTTGTAAATATATTTTATACAGAAAAACCTTGAGTTTTTATTTATTTATTCCAAAACTGTAATTTTGTTTGAAATGTAAACGCAGACTCTGCTGCTTTTGAAACAATGAGTCCTCTTGATTTTAGGTAGAACACAAAGATAAATTACAATACATGTTTTTCTTGAAAGATTTACAATCACAGTGCGTCATATTATAACAACTATAACCCGTGTTATTATAATAAGTATAACTATATTCAGTTGGACCAAAAGCAAGATTTCGAGGATCTGATTTGGTGTGACCCAAGACACGTTACCACTCAATGAACCTCTCTATAGTTACCAAAAAACTATAATAGATATACATCTTCTTTTATAGATACTAGATTTTGCAAGCACGGAAATATATTGTGATGAAAATTTCACTAATAATTATTAAATATTTTGTTAATTTGAAAAAAAAGTATTTAAAATAATTTTGTATTTTAATTCCTGTTTTCAAATTTAACATGAATCTACATATTAATTGGTTAATCTAGTGATCTGATAACTTGATTTAGATTTTTTTAAATATCAATATTTAAAAAGTCATTAAACACTGAGAACAATTGATTAAATCGATGGATAGCCGACATGTATAGTTTAAATCTGTAAAATTAGTCAATTTATATAAATACCTAGAAAGAAAATTGTTAAAAATTATTTTTAAAAAAAAATAAGAGTTAATTCTTTATATCATTTGAACACAAAATTAATTATCGTGTTGTTTATAAATATTAAAAGTAATATAAAGAAATGAATATTGTTTGAAAACATGGATATTAGTATAAAGAAAAAATATTAATAATTTAAAATAGATTAACTATAAAATAGAAATATATATATATATATATTAAATTAAAATTTTATAAAATAAAAGTTAAGTGCAACGCAATGTTTACACCATACATGCATGATTGTAACGGACTACAAAACCATACACACATCTTATTATGGGATTTATTATAGGATAATGGCTTTAACAAAGATAATTATAAGCAGACAATTCCTTTA